GAGGCTGCAAAAACATGCATTTTGAAGATCGTGACGAGCTTTATAACTTTATGCAGGTCCCATCATTTGTATCGCATGGTCAATTTGCTCGTCGAATTTCTAAAATTCAAATTTCCCTGTGTGAATTTAACTCCCAGCCAAAAAAGTAAGTCACTTGAATAATGTATGCCTGATTTGGGTGACAAAATCCTCAAAACCTCTTAATAATAATATGTATAAAGTATTCAAGTAATTAAATTTAGAAGTGCAACTAGTATAAAAACTGTATTACATGTCGGACAAGCATAATATTAAATCTTACAAGTATGTGATACAGGAGTACGTAATTTTGTCCAATCATGGATGATTGTGATTGGCCATTTGCTGGCCGGGAATTACATGAATCACCTTAACGTTATAAAAAAAGGTTGCACTTGCTCTAAAACGAAGCACGAAGCAAATCGAAGGTTCCCCATTTGCTGTATCCGCATAAATGGTGGGTTTTCTAGTGTAACCGGATGCGCTTGTGTTTTGTTTGATGATGCATCCATTGTGACAGCCTGGGATGGCGAGGTGAATCGCATAAGAGTCTCATGAGTATGTCATTTGTGGTAGAAGGACGTCGCTCTGAACACGATGTCCTCCCATACTCTCGAAGGACCTCGCTACTTTGTTCCGGCACGAGAATGACGTGAAGTCTTTCGTCGACCTCGCGGGCGAAACCCCGAAACCAGATTATCTGTACAAAGATGCTGCAAGTGGGTAGGATGGTAACGCTTCATTCGTGTTAGGCGAGAATCCAACTATTAATAGTAAGCTCCAATCCGACTGTAGGCGTACAATTCTCGCCTTTGTATGCGATGGAAGTGTCATTTATTTACCGAGGGACTTCAGCCAGCATCATTATTGAGTGATGATGATGGCCAAGAATAATAACCACGTTTGATTGGATAACGTTTTCTGGATAAAACCAATTTGCAGCGGACGATTTGCGAAATTCGCACACAAGGTTGCAACCTATCCGGGTACTAAATACTAGGTTGCGGATAGAATAGAACTGGCGTTTGCGAAATCTGTCTAGTCTCCAATAATACAGTGCTGGCAAAAAGTTTAAGACCACGTAGAAATATGACCGGTTTGCACATTCAACTTGGTCGTCTCTAAATTGAGATAGATTCTACCATTCCGAACGTGCCTTGTAAACCATCATGACATTCGTCGCAACTTGGCGCCAAGTACCCATCACGCTACGCAAAAAAAACGTGACATACAAAAAAACCATGTGGCAAAAACTATAAAACCACCACGTCAATTTTGCTCTTGTAGGCGTTTTTTAGCTCACAAACCATGTTTTTTATGCTCCGCGTAATGAGTTTAACCGATTCCCGCCTTTCCTTGATTTCAAAACATCATACTTGCATGCCAGCGGGACTCAAACTCACGGAAGAAGAACAGGCCATGATTTTTGCCCTTACCGCGGTCGGCAAAGGCCACAGAGAGATAGAACGACTTCCAAGTCGCTCTCGAAGTGCCACTGCACACTTCTTACGTGACCCAGCGGGCTACAATATCAACAAGCGTAGTGGCCGGCCACCCAAGGTCAGTGCCCAAGACCTGCGCCGGCTTCTTCGGACTGCATCCAACTCGCTTTTAAGCTCTCGTGAGCTCGTTGATGAGTGCCAACTAGCCATTAAGGCTAGGCATGCCCGGTAACTACTCAACCAGGCCAAGCACCTCCGGTACAGCAAGGCCATGGCATCACCAACTCTGACGGACTAGCACAAAATTTCGCGCCAAAAATGGGCATGCGACAAGGTCACATGGAGCGACCTTGACTGGGCCAAAGTCGTCTTCAGCGACGAAAAAAAGTTCAACCTCGATGGTCCCGACGGCCTGAAGTACTACTGGCATGACCTCCGCAAGGAGAAGGCCATATTCTCTAAGCGGCAATCCGGTGGCGGAAGTGTAATGGTTTGGGGCGCTTTCAGTGCCAAGGGAACGTCGACCCTTGCTATTCTGGAGTGCAATCAAGACAGTGGCGCATATGTGTACACGCTGTCCGACCATCTGTTCCCGTACATCGCCTACTATTTTCGTGAGTGCATTTTTCAGCACGACAATGCCTCAATCCATGCGTCGAAGGAGACCAAGGAGTTTTTGAACGAGCACAATGTGCACGTCATGGATTGGCCGGCAAAGTCTCCAGACTTGAATCCCATCGAGAACATTTGGGGTGTTCTTGCGCGTGCGGTTTACGCCCATGGTTGTCAATTTGCGTCCAAAACTGAGCTCATTGCAGCCATTCTTTCTCAAGGCGTGGGATGGTATCGGCCAAGACCTCATCGACAAGCTGTTGAAATCGATACAGAAGCGCTACGTGAGTGTCTTGGAACTCAAGGGGAGTAAGACAAAGTATTGAGAGCAATTTGGATCGTAATCGACAAACATTGAAGCACTTTATTGAGGTGGTCTTATACTTATTGCCATCAACGATTTTATAATCTGCACACAATGTGAGATTGAATGTTTGAATTGCCTTTGTTGCTGCACTTACAGGCCTCAATTTCGTATTCAATCAATTGTACGATATGGCGCACCGTTGTTTTCAGGTGGTTGTAGCGTAACGTCCAAATTGGTGGGTGGTCTTATGCTTTTTGCCAGCACTGTAGTGTAACACTCCAAAATCAACTTCGAAATTTGTATACCTCATACAAATTCTAAATGCAAATCGAAGAACCACTGGGTGAAGCGATGCAGTTAACCCCGGAGATTTCGTATGTACTCACCAGGGGTAGGACGGAGTCCCAGGTTACAGCGCTACGGGCGATGCCCAAATATACGGGGCGCCGAGCACACCACCAACAACGACCATGGCCTCACTTCGGCCGGACCCCGGCAAGCAGCAGTCAATACCTCCGACACTGTCGGACACCTCGACCGTGCCAACCCCTATGGCCATCATCATCGTTCACCGCAACGGCGTCCCCACCGGCATCCTTGTGCCGGCTACTGGCATCATCCGCCAACCTCACCCAACCTCATCCCAAAACGACTCTGCCTCCGACACCACCGAGTGCCCGGTTGACCCACTGCTCACTGCGCTCCAGCTACGGTCAACATGTGCAGCGGACAAGTTCCTGGCTCGCCATGATGGCCACACAACCAAACGGGCTAATCCTCGGTGGCCATCCATAAGTCAGAACACCCTGATCTGTAAGAGAACATCCTCACTGCCCTGTCAGTCAGGTAGCAGCATCCTGCTAGTTATGTAGGAGGTTTTTGTGCCTTTTAGAGGCTTTTCCTCAGGTAGAAGACAGCGCAGACATTTGTCACGAAACATCACAGATGTTGGGCCAATCATAGTCTAGTCTGATTGGCTGTTTTTCTCTGCCATCAGAACTAATATACTTTTAGTTCTTCCTCCATCCACACACGTGTCTGCTGCTGCTTCCTGCCTCTCAACTGGTAATGAGCCTTACTACTGCTTCCCTGGTGGGTCACGGTGAAAACTACCATCGTGATGACCGATACAGAGTTACCCACGATGACTATCGTGAGGTTTCCGCGACGACTACCGTAGCATCGATCACGAAGTAGACCGCGTGAAAGACGACTGTGTTCACCAATAGGAACACCGCGACGAATGTTGCGAAAAGAACTACTACTATCGCGATGACTATCGTGAAGACTAATGCTCACAACACATCGTAGATTCCGTGAAGTCTACTGTGGCAACGATCACGAAGTGACTGCGACGAAAAATGTCCGCGAAGAATATGACCCCGCCGATAACTACATTGGGACTACGACTGCAACATGTCCGCGAAGACTCGCGTCGACAACGTCCACTAACGCACTGATTACTTCCTTAAGGTATTATCACGATATATTTTGCCACATATTTCACGTAGATTATCGCGAAGACTTTATTGGCTGCATGCCACAACGACTACCTAGGTACTACACTATATATTCCGCGACAATTTGCCCGCTTAGATTATCAAGCCAAATACCACGGCGGCTACCGTGACTGTCGTGCGTGATTCACTGCCACAACCGCAGTCGACGCGCTCCGCCCACTAAATAAGGCTGCGCACCACCGAGTAGAAGCGAATTTCGCGCCTCGACCTGCAAGTTCGTGTCTCAGAACACCCGTGTCCACGTGACCAGACTGTTTATTGATGTCTTCACGCACACATGTCGGCATTTATGCCTCGACAGGTTATCGATGGACAACATTCACGTGTTGCATTTTTCGGGACTTTCAGAAGTCGACCGACAAATCAAGTACACATCGTACTTTCGACATTATTAGTGGACATTAGTCCGTAATATTGCTGGTGCAGCCGATGCCCACCTACACAGTTGTTTGGCGTGGATCAGTTGGACTCGATGTCGCTGGCACCAACGGCGACCGAACATGATTTATCTGAAGGATGGTTATCGCATCCCAGATCATTTGTTGGACATGTCCTACACATGGATAGATGTCATCTCCATCACTCCAACCGAGTGGAAGCTCTCCACGATCACCATCACTTCTCGCACAAAGTTTTTGCATGGTATTTGACACACCATATCTGCGCCTTCACCGTTTGGGGAAGCGATGGCCACCACACCTCTACCCATACTTGGGGAGGCTCTAGTTTGTGGTTCGGTGTACGCAGTTTGGCAAGTACATGTCGTACTAGAAGTGCTAGACACTACTCCAATTGCCCCTTCGGGAGGCATCAACTTTGTCATACTCCGCCTCCACCACGGAAGTTATCCACAACTCCGACGTCCAAACGTCGTCGATTGTTGTCCAACAACCCGTACCAATGGGCGTCGATGATGACGAACTGGTCCTCATGGCTCCCAACTGGACATGCTGCAACCTATCAAACAAGGGTGCGCTTTCAGATGCACGACCTTGGGGTTCTCAAGTTTATTCTCGGATTTACATTGTTCGAGATCGTTCTGCTCGAACTCTCGCAATGCATCAGTCCCAATATGCAACCTTGAATATCGTGAGGTTTAGCATGGAGAATTCAAAACCAACCCTCACTCCAATGGAGTTCAAGGTCAAGCTGTCTGGGTAGATGTATCCTCAGAACGATGCAGAACGCCAGTTCATGGTGGGCACGACACATCGACCTGACATGCGTCGCCCTACAGCTGTGCCAGTTTCTCATGAGCCCCGGCCCTGCAACATGCAGGAGGCCATGTGCGCTATCGGATACATCCAACGAACGATAGACTATGATCTCGTCGTAGGTAGTGCGTATGATCACTCCATCCGCATCACGCGCATGTAGACAGTGACTACGCCACTTGTGTTGATGCGTCGCGGGTTTAGTGTGACATTTTACCACCACTCTGCGATATCTCGGATCGCTAAGAGAATGCGAAGCATCGCCCTCTCGACAACGAGGCAGCGCTAATCCTTCTGTGCAAATTTGCACAAGGGCGCCTGAGTTTCAAACAGGCAGTCGGTGACATGGGACATCCCATCACCACAGCTATTCCTCTATACGAGGTCAATAAGAGCACCATCCAGATCGTGAACCACTCTGGACATTATGGGCGTACGAATCACATTGACGTACGTTACCATTTCGAGAACCACCTCATCGAACAATAGACTTATGTCTTGTTTCCACCGATACACGACCCCAGGTCGCTGATATCAATACCCTAGATGGCACAATGTTCTGCGCTCTGCGTAGTCAACAAACGGGTGGGACAGCTGTCGTCCTTCAGCACCCTCAGGCGAAAGCCAGGGAGCACGAACTCCGGCCTCTCAGCCCGTGACTAAGTCGACGTGCCAGGGGGACGCCCTGAGGCATGTTGTGTTGGCTCGACATCGGGGGGTGACGGCATCCCGGTGGTTACTCGATCCATCCGGCCCTTCCACGGCATGTCGTTCGGTAAGGGCCAATTGGTAGGGACCTGCTGAAAGGGATGTTAGACGAGTTGAGTCCCGGACAGACGACGGTGTAATCAGTGGTGGTTACGCTCACTGAGCTTAACCTCCAGCCTCTTCCTGCACTCTGGGCACATGATTCCGGTTGACAGTGCGTGGCGCTGTTGGGAGGCAGTCAGAACACCCTGTTCTGTTAGAGAACATCCCCACTGCCCTGTCAGTCAGGTAGCAGCATTC